GAATTTACTCTCTTGGTGATCCAGCGACTGAAACTTCCAAGCACGAAACATTCTGATCTTGAACTTCAGTGCTTCATCATGGTGTGTGTGTGTGTGTGTGTGTGTGTGTGTGTGTGTGTGTGTGTGTGTGTGTGTGTGTGTGTGTGTGTGTGTGTATGTGTGTTTAAGTATAAAAGTTACGTCTAGGTACCCACGCCTTGGCCCGTTCGAAGTCAAAAAATATTTGGACACACCTAGAAGAGTTTACACGGTCGAGCAACAGCTCATGGCCCCGCCTTCCGAATGATTTTTGTTTTGTTTAATGCAATGACTCACTTCCTACGTTTGCCTTATCACATTTACATTTAAAGTTACGCATTGAGACAGCCACAATAATTTCTTCGTTTAACTCATTCCACCCCATTGACAACTCTGATGTGGTGAAGTTGTTGACCAGACCACACACTAGAAGGTGAAGGGACGACGACGTTTCGGTCCGTCCTGGACCATTCTCAAGTCGACTGTCGACTTGAGAATGGTCCAGGACGGACCGAAACGTCGTCGTTCCTTCAGCTTCTAGTGTGTGGTCTGGTCAACATTCTTCAGCCACGTTATTGTGACTCATCGCCTGCATGTGGTGAAGTTCTTTCTAATATCCCTGTCTTCTTTCCTGCGCACGGCGTTGTAGTTGAATTATTCTGATGTTCTAATTCTTTGTCGAGTTTGACCTTAAAGTTGTAGATAGTGATGGCTTTCATGACTTATTTCAGCGCATTTGTCTTGATGACCACCAATAGACTCATTTTCGTTTCCAGCTTACACCTGTATTTTCTTGTCCTACTTTCGTGGAATCTAAAGAGACTGTTTTTGTTTTCCTTGTCTATTGCCTACATTATCTTGCATGTTGTGATCTTATTCCGTCTATTTCTTCTATCCTCTAAGGGTGTGATATTCATTTCCATTAGTCTGTCCGTATAGCTTAACCCTCTTAGCTCGGGTGTCAATTCTTGCTGCAAATCACTGTACATTACCATCTTTGGTTTCATGCTTCATAAGGTGAGGATTCCATGTTAGTGCTGCATATTACATTATTGGTCTAAACATTTTTGCGTGGATTGCCTTGAAGAAGTTCTGATGTAAGTTTTTAAACGACGATCGAATGTTTGTCAGCGTCCCGTGTGCCGTCTATGTTATCCTGTCTAAGTGTGCCTCTGGTGTGAGTGCTGTAATTACATCTTCTCTCAAATATTTTTATCTTTTCGATTCCTGTAGATGCTCATATGGTGTAGTTACCTCCTAATCTCCTTTCTTCATATCCAATCTTCATTACCTTACACTTTTTGGGATTGAATTCTACCTTTTCTTTTAGTCTATTCCTGGAGTTTGTCAAGGTCATAAGAACATAAGAATAAAGGTAACTGCAGAGGGTTTATTGACCCACACGAGGCAGCTCCTATTTATAACCACCCAATCCCGAAGGTCCTCTTGTAACCTCCTGTAGTCTTCCTCTGTTTTAACATTCCTCATCATCTTTGCGTCATCTGCATATATTGACACGTAAGTTAACCCACATGAGTGGGTGAGCGCCATGCTTCTTGTCCCAAGAGTGGGTTGGCTACCTGAATCGGAGCGCTTGAGTCTTGTGTTGGCAACCTTGCCAGTAAAATTGTTTAGCACATATGTCAGTTAAGTCAATAACATTGAACACACACACACGTACATATTATCAAGAAGATGTCACTGTTCGTCGAGGAGGATAACATGGCGTTAATTATCACCAATGAATGCACCAGAGGCCGCCCTGAGAGTACCTGCTTTCCATGTCACCTGCGTCACACCAACACGTAAACAAGGCCTTATCTCAGGGTGGCATTAGGGCGAGTGTGCCAGAGGGAGCAGGTGGTGGTGGTGGCGGTGGCGCCTGTTTAGTGGGTCTACCAACCATAAGCGGACGGGCAGGTGCTTGCTTGCTTGTCGAATCAAGCCTGAAGCTCACTATGTCAGGACTTGTTTTAGGAATGGCTGAGGTCACCAACCGCACTCACATGAAACGCAAGTGCATGCATGGGCGCTGTGAACACTCACTTGTGATTTGTGGGTGTTCAGCTTCAGTTCTTGGGCTCGCCTCTGAAGTTTTAAAAATCGACAAAAATCTTACGGTTATGTGTGGAGTCCGCCTCGAGTATCTCTGTTCTCAGTGCCCGCCACTTTCTCTCTGTCATGCAACGGCAGAGGCTCTTTTTCCCATCATTCTGTTTCATCTGTCTTAAGCTTAAATCTTTGTTCCGTAGTACTGGTCTCTCCCATGTCCCTTAGTCCTGGTTCTTCCCCTGGACGTGGTCCATCCCAGGTATCCTGGTCGTGGTCCCTCTCATATTCCCTGGTCAAGTTCCCTCTCTTGTCCCTTAGCAGTTTCTTGCAGAGAAAGTAAGGCAACTTAAATGAACAAATCCACAAGGGCCGTGACGAGGGTTCGAACCTGCGTCCGAGAGCATCCCAGACGCTGTCTTAATCGACGGAGCTACGACAAATCCACAAATCCCCTTGTGGATTTGTTCATTTGATGCATCACGCAATTGTGATTTCTGTGTGTAAGTCAACTCAATGTATATTCTCTAGATAGTCGAAGGGTAAAGGGATACATGAAATATACAAAATAATGAAAACGTATAATTTGGAGGATATTAATAGGATACTAAAGATCTGAAACCAAAATGGAACACGGAACAACGAATACAAACTAGATTAGCTTAGATTTAAAAATCATCATGCTAGAACCTGCTGTATAAAAGGGTCATTCTGAATTTATATAAATGTGCTCGATAATAGGTTAAGTTGTACAATATACAAAAAATCTGTATGATTAAAAAATAAATTTATAATATGCAGCCAGAAAGGACAGAGATTACAAGCTGACTTAAAACTCTTCGTAAATTAGTTTGACAAATAGGAAATAAAGCTCTAATGCTGATGAATGCAAAAAAATAGATAGAAGAAAGAAAATATAATGACCAGGTAATGGATAAACAGAGAGTGAGAAGTAGACTAAGGCAGTGAGGAGTAGACTAAGACAGCGAGTGAGTAGACTAAGACAGTGAGTGATAAGCAGACTAAGACAGTGAATGAGAAGTAGACTAAGACAGAAAACAGAAAGAAGTGAGTGATATCAGCCAATGTTCAGAAGCCAAGTAAACATTGTACTGAGGTTCTTGGGACAACCAATACAACAATGGGTTATAATTGGAGACCTTAACGAGTTTCGTCCGGAGAAAGTCGTGTCCGCTTCGTACAATACATTACTATGTCATATTTCATAATATTTCAGTCTTGGTCACTATATTTGAGGAAAAATAAATGTAAAGGTGTTTTTTGCGCTACTCGGTAAAAAATTATACCAGCACCAGTGTATACTAAACAATGAAAGACGATAGACGATAGACAAACAATGATAGACAAACAATGACAGTGTATAATGTATACATAATACTAGCACCAAGTGTATACCACTGTATACCTAATTTATACCCAATGTATACCCAGTGTATACCCAATGTATACCGAGTGTATACTCAATGTATACCCAGTGTATACTCAATGTATACCAGTGTATACTCAATGTATACACAGTGTATACTCAATGTATACCCAGTGTATACTCAATGTATACCCAGTGTATATCAATGTATACCCAGTGTATACTCATGTATACCCAGTGTATACCCAATGTATACCCAGTGTATACCCAATGTATCATAGAAGACCTGTTTACAAAGCTGAAATATTTCAGAATGAAAGGAGGAAAAAATGTGAAATGATTTAATACCAAGAAGAGTTAAAAAGAATCATTAAAATCATTAAAAATCAATTACAATCTTAATTGAAAAATACTGTAATTGGGAAGAGTAACGCAATCGTGGAAAATTGGGAATGTAGTTCCTATCTCAGACAAAAAAAAAAAAAAAAAAAAAAAAACATGCGCATAAAATTATCGGCCAAATAGTTTCTAGTGTATTTTTTTTTATTTTTTTTTATTTTTGAATCGACAATCGCAAAAGCCATTCGTATATATGTTTTAAACTAATAAATAAACCATTCAAAGAATATATATATATACAAGGGGCCGTTAACATGTTGATAAACGCATTTACTCTCTCGTTATTTCTGAGCACATTTGGAGCAGTTCATAGTGGAAACTCTTATGGCGTTACTTGCTTTGACTTGCGAGATGGTTGGTAACGAGGAATACGTAACGAGGTGGTAGGTAACGAGGAAGTTGATAGTGAGGTGCTAGACAGTGAAGAGGTTGGTAACATGGTGGTAAGTAACGAGGTAATAGGTAACGGAGAGGTAGATAACGAGGTCATAGATAACGAAGTGGTAGAATCACCAAGTGGTAGGCAACAAGAAAAGAGGTAATGAGGTGATAGGTAACAAGGTGATAGGTAAACCATTTTCCCTAACTCCCCTACACTTTCACAACGAAGATTCTGATATTGAGAGATTCACTCCCTCACCAGCACTCAATGACCGCGGGTACTACCCGTTGCGGTGACCGGGATAGCGACCGCGGGGGACTGGGGGGGAGGGAATGGCGGTTACCAGGATAGAGGCGGGATGGGCGAGGCGGCTGGAGTGCCTATGATCCACATTATGCTGTATCATCTAATCACACAACTTCGCGCCCGTGAGCTTCTTTACCAGGGTCGACCAATCAGCGTGCCGAGACTCTTGTCACTCTCGTGCTGCTGACCAATCACGAGCGGCTAAGTGGTGACGTCATATATGGGCGCAACCAATAGCAGGTGCCGCCTGATCTGATCAGACACCGCAGGAAGTAATCATCACTGCCATATCCACATTACGAACCCACGTTTATCCCCCGCAAGATCAAAGCAGAGAACGCCGAAAGGAACGGCACGAGAGAGGAACGAAGGCGGAGAACGGGAGGGGAGGTTGTAGAAGGGGGAGAATGGCTCGCAAGGCGGCGTGGGACACTAGTCTTGTGGGAGGTGAGCGCGCAG